AATTCCTGAAAAACAAACAACCCTTGAAAAATGGAATCAGTTATGAAAAATCTACCTTCCTTGAAAGACACCACACCCAGGTAGTTTTATAGGTGAGTTTTACCAAACATTCAAGTATCAGATAATTCCTTTTGGTACCGTTTCAGAGACGAGAAAAGGAAAAAGCTAATCAAATCACTCCATAGGGCTAGTACAACCTTGATGTGAAACTTAGACAGGATAGTAAAAGGAAGTAAAATTGTGTACCAATCTCATATTTGAGCAAATTATGAAGCCTCTTTAATGTTCTCCCCTTACTATCTCCCTAAGTAGAATCAATCATTCCCCCTATAGCCTACACATATCTATCCACAGCACCATTTAACACTTGGTGCACTTAACATGTTTTCATATTTGTCTCTCACTGGTAGACACTAAGATCCTTACAGGCAGGGATATTTTTATTCATATCTCCAGCATGAAATACAGTGCTTACTCCACGGTCATACTCAATAGCTGTTGAATGATGTGGAAAGAGAGAGGGAAGGGCCTTTTAGGTAGAAATACCAGTAACGTGTCAGGAAGAGGGTGGGAAACAATGAGCCAGTGAGTAAACCATTTGGCTAAACCTTATATAGGTTTATATAAGGAAATAACACTGGAAAGGTAGGTCAAGGCCAGTCAGGTGGGCTTTTCAGTGCCAAAGCTAAGTTTACTTTCAGATCACTGAAGGCATTTGAGCAGGCAATGGCTAAATCAGATCTGTGCTTCAGAATCCAGAAGAGCACTTTTTAGAGCTGTCAGGGACCTGGAGGTGACTTACCTGGTTTAAATCATCATTTTAAAAATTAGAAAACTAAAGTCAGACAGGGTAGGCGATCTACCCAAGGCCAAAGAACACAGAGTTAGCTAACAGCAGGCAGAACTTAGAGGGAGTAAACTTGATTTTAGTTAGTATATGGTTCAATCAACACGCAAACCCAGGTTTGTCCAGCTCCAAAGTCCATAATCTAGATGACACCAGGAGATGAGGTATGTAGACCATATGTACATCCTTTTAGAACTGTTCTAATTTCACATAATACACTCATTTCAAATAAAGGTAATTTATGTAATGTATAACTAAAGGTTGATTTAACTATTTTTACTTTTATTATAAGATAAAACATTTAATAGACCTTTAATTAGCTTTATTAAATTAAGTCATTTTAAAGCAGTATTTTACTCAGTTTCTGGATCCAAGATCAACAAAATGGTGGGGCATGAACAGGAAGTGAATAGGAACAAAGCATTTCCTTAGCCTCACAAAATCCATACCTGAAGCATTACAAGTGGTTTTAGTTACTGCAACAGAATTGGAAAAGTCCCAGAAAAGGGTTAATTAATTAATTAATTACAAAGAACTCTTCAGTCTTAAAAACAGCCTCAAAGTTTATAAAACCAGAAGAGATAGGTAGGGATAGAAAATAGTAATTCTCAGAAATAGTTCTTAAAGTCTAAAGGACAATAGACTTAGAGAAAATATAGGAAAATACTATTTACGCAGCCAAAAACTTTAAAAAACTGAGGAGTGAAGGAGCTTTTTCTTTTCTTTTCTTTTCTTTTCTTTTTTGTGAGGAAGACTGGCTCTGAGCTAACATCCATTGCCAATCCTCCTCTTTTTGCTGAGGAAGGTTAGTTCTTAGCTAACGTCTCTGTCCTTCTTCCTCCACTTTTGTATGTGGGACACCGCTACAGCATGGCTTGACGAATGGTGCATGGATCCAAACCCGGGATCTGAACCTGTGAACCCCGAGCTGCTGAAGCAGAGCGCGCAAACTTAACCACTACCCCACTGGGCTGGCCCCCACAGCTTTTTCTTTTTAAGTTATAAAAAAGAAAAATAGAATTTCATACTCAAAGTACTGGTACAAGCTGAAAATACCCATCGGTGCACAATAATGAATGATGACAGAATACTGTCAGGAACAGTGTGAGAGATTTTCCTTGCCTCCTAGATTAACCCTTTTGGTGCTCCTGTCTGAGGTAGGATACAAGACTGAGAAGGCCACTGCTCTATAGCCTTTCTTACACATTCTTGCCCCAGCCATGATTTAGCACCACAGAGTCTTGCACAAAAGAAGCACTTGACTAATGTTCGTTAACTGACTAACAGAAGTTTAAAGAAGGTGATGGATGACACAGCTTTGACAGGCATGAAATCATGAGCAAACAGTAATTATAGTACTAATAATGATAATAACAAGAATCACAACAGTGATCAGTGATTGAGAGCTTACTATATGTAGGTATTGCTCTAAATGCAAGTACTAACTCATTTACCTTCATTAACTTTATTTTTCAAATAACGAAACCATAGCACATAGAGGTTAGTAACCTGCTCAAGGACAGAGAGGCAGGCAGTGGCAGAGCTAGAATTTGAACCCAGGAGCCTGTGCTCTTTATCACTGTTCTAGTCAGGCCAGCCCTGCAACTGTCTGTGTATTCTGTAGATATGATATTTTTAAGGATCCCATTTCATAGGTAATTTCTTTTTTTGAATATTTGGAAAAATAAATTGTAGGTTTCAAAAAGTATTTGTATTTATTTCAGAATAGAAAAACCAATAATCCTATTTTATCTGCTCTTCAATAAAAGGTATATATTTGCTTTAGATTTACCTCCAGTCTTCCTTGAGCATAACCCAGGAGCAGCAGATTAGCTCTGTCCTTCTCAGAAGAAAGGGGGGCCCAGGGCCAAGCATCATCACTGACCAGTGGCCACCAGCAAACAACTATATCCTGAACACAATTGATAGCTAGGCGACGCTCGGTTGTCCTATTTACTGGGCCAGGTATTTCATAATAGGAAATCTAATGGTTAAAAAAATAAAAGCATAAAAGAATCATTTTTTAAAAATGCAAAATCCTCACAGTATTACAAAAATTAAAGCATCTGTAAATGTAGATAAATGCAAGTAAATATGCATGTTAAACATGTGCTTAAGGAGGTGTCAGAATTTACCAAATTCTTTTGACACATATATAAAAGAGACATATGTTCAAAATTCTCCCCATTTTTAGCAGAGGAAAGGAAAAGGAGTAATGTGAGTTGGGGAGGAATTGGCTGCAGCAATCCCCATCAATACCAAAATGTACAGTCATGGTTGCTTGACAGCATCACCTACAGGATTTCAGACCAGCTGTATTAAATGACAAGTTCAGTACTGCTGACCAAGAGTGTCTGACTACTGTTTTAAGACATAACATGTTAACAATGACTCACAACAATAAAAGGAAAAACAACTTGAGGCAAATATCGCTTTAAAGAATATATAAGACATATACACATATATTCTGCATAAAAGGATAAGCCACAGCATCATACGTAAAAGTTTATGCAGCTTCTGAGAATTATGCTTCTCTTTCTTAGGAAGGATTTGTAGAATTTATTATTCAAACTATGTTATTTTGGAACATGGTTATTTGAAAACATAAGCACGGCACCATCTGGGTGACACATGCCAAGGAAATATAGATTGCACCGTATTTCTGCTTAAGGAATTAATGGAAGGTTGATAGCTTGGAAGAAAAAAAAAAAACTATCTTGCCATTGCTGGTCAGCAATAATCGAACCACTTTCTGGGGATTAAGCGCATGGCTAAGCCTACTGGACCAGACACTAGCAAAGGGCAGGGGGTCTTCTTATCAGAGAAATGCTTCTGGAGCCAGTCTCACTACATGACAGATTGCTTTCATATTCCTGTCTGCAAGGCAACAAAGGATGGCAGTAATGCGATAATGCCAGAGTGCAATGGGTGTTAAGAACCCGTTGCATTTATGTATTGTATTTAGTAAATAATCAGGCTCATCCAAATTGTGATCTCACCACTCAACCAAGGCCATTAAAATCAAGGTTAATGCTTTAATAATCCTTTGCTATTTTTTAAAATATGGTCAAAAGGAACTCTTTTCTATTTGCATGGCCATAATATTATTGACCTCTTCATCCTCTGAATGCACATCAAAAGGAACTGAAATCAAAGTAATTACCAATGTTGTTCTCTAATGGTAAACATTTAACTCCTTGTACTGTCCCTTCACTGCTAAATAAATTGAATAGGATTTTTAAAATGTAGACAGGAAAACTTGTGAAAGGTCAATAGTTTCAGGATATTTACCCTGCAATTTTCTTTGCCAAAATTATCTCAATCTGAAAGAATTAAATTATGGTACAGCTGTAAAGAAAAGCAGAATTATAATACTCTACACTATTTTCTTGTTTTAAAATCCAAATTGGCAATGACAGACAACACAGACGTACTGTATGCTTTGAAGTGCAAATTCTTATATTTAGGCTCTCAATATCATTATTTTAACTAGCTATCTTCTTATTTGGGAGAAATACCACAATGGAATTGCTAAGTCCTTAAAAACACACGTACATTATTTTGATGTCCTACTTGCCATGTAAACATGTTACTTACAAATTTCTAGATGAGGAAATAGAGTTAAAACAAGAGACTGCCACTTTCAGTCCTCATGCAATGCAAATCATGTATGTTATCTGAAATTTCATGTTTCCTATAAGTTTTAATGGTATCCGTATTCTATCAGGATGGTCAAAAGGGCAAGTAAAATGAACAAGTTTCTTAAAATATCCTTCCAATGGAATTATGGCAGTTTTTACTAAGTATTAAATATCTATATTTTAAATATTGAACCAGAAAATGAAATCCATAGGCTTTCCAAAGGAAAGTGGGTTACTTTTCTTATGTATACAAATAATGTGGAGTGCCCATGTTCTTAATTTCCCAAATCCAAAGCAGAAAGAATAAACAAATAAGTAAGTCCCTTACTTAAGGTAGGAGGGCCCATATACTAGGTCTATTTTCCACATCTTTTCATAAGAAAAGATGACATCATGACAGTTTTTCTCTGCTCTCGTTAACAGGTAGCTACCACCCTTCAGCTGAGAAAACTTTACAAAGCTATCTATCACACCCAAGATGGAGAAACTAGTCATACAAAAATTTTAAAATAGCATAGCATTAAAAACACTCACTTTAAATAGTTTGTTAATGCACGCTGGTGCATTTTAAAGAGCAGTATTAGTAAATAAACAACATTTCAAGTAAATCTACAGTTAGCCATTCTGGAAAATAACATCCCATTAAGAATGTTCATATCGGGCCGGCCCCGCGGCTTAGCGGTTAAGTGCTCGCGCTCCGCTGCTGGCGGCCAGGGTTCGGATCCCGGGCGCACCGACGCACCGCTTCTCCGGCCATGCTGAGGCCGTGTCCCACATACAGCAACTAGAAGGATGTGCAGCTATGACATACAACTATCTATTGGGGCTTTGGGGGGAAAGTAAATAAATAAATCTTTAAAAAAAAAAAAAGAATGTTCATATCAATTTTTTGACTAACCAAAATAAGATACTTGAGTACTACTAATTTCCAGTTAAAGAAAATCAGTATTATTCAAGGTGTTATAGAAGCTCCACAAAGCTGGCAAACAAAACTAAATTGTAGTTTATTACCACAATGAAAAACTTATTTATTTTATTCCATGTTAAAAATATTTTTTAAAAGAATAGATGTTTCTACTCGATAAAATTAAATCCTCCTCATACCACTACCACCTCAATCACAATAAGAAATAATCCCAAAGGGCAAAAGGTTAGGTTAAATATTACTTTTTCAAAAACACACATACAAAGTTTAAAGCCACAAAGCTGACTTCTAAAAATCTTTGCCCTTGTTACCGATACTCTAGGTATGGCATAAGTGTGCATCTTTTTTAAGGAAGCTGTATATCAGCTCTGTTCCCAGTGAACAGTGAACTGTCTCAAATCCACGTCACAGAGGCTGGATCAATCTTGCAAACACAAGTCACTGCTGAAAAGAGGCCTTGAACTGAAACAGCCTAGAAAATGTATTAGATACTCATCCTAGCAGAGAGTATGTCTTCCAAGCAGTTAAAATGTAATGTGGCAAAACTTAAATTAAACACAACATTTAAAATAAAAATCCTGCCTTAACAGATGTAAAGTCCCTGATACAAGGAAACAAATTACCTGGAGTTAGTGAAGGGAGAGATACTAACACACGAAGGAGATTTCTTTTTGCATTTTCTCCAGTTATAGTTGGGAGTGGTGGGGGGTGTCTTCCCACTCCTTGTTTATTACACTTTTCTATTAACCTTTGAAAGTGCCTTCTTCCTTCTTTCTTTTCTTGTAAAATGGAAGCCAGAGCAGCTATCCTAGCCTAGAAAGATGATATGGGGTCTTAGGGAAAAATGAGAATGGTGTATATACCACTATTAGCAAGAAAACCATTTTCAAATGTGTAACTTGCCTCTATTCTCTGTCTTTGACTTCCATAAATACTATATAAATTGCTCCAAACATGCCATTGGTAGACCCCCTTAATGAGAGTAAAAAAGAAAACTTAGGATGGCCAATGTTTCTAGTGAATCAAGCTTAATCCTGTAATAACTCTGGTTTTTCTAAAATCCGGAAATGTTCAAGAATAATGAGCATAACATCAACTCATGTGATACTCTAGCATATCTTAATAATTAATAGAATGATTATATAAATTGAAATCTCTACCTTATAATCCAAGGCTGAGAGTTTTTCCACTCTTGTATATACATCAGGAGAACCCATCTTCTTGGTAAATTGAATAAAACATAGTTTGTTTTGTGCCAAAAATGATAAGATGATAAAGCTGTCTGTGAGAAGAGCTTAAAAAAAGAAAAAAAAATTGATAATACAATCAAATACTGTTAGAATAAAATAATAATGAATTAATTGATTTGTTCCACCGAAATATTACAAAAAGCTATTTTCAGAGGATAAATATTAATTGAAAAACTAAAGTCTCCTATTAGCATTATGGCATTTTACAAGGATATTAAAGATATTGGGAATAAACAATAATCATCAATCTAATCATGCATGGATTTGATACTTCTTTTTTCCTGAGACCATTTCAATATACACTAATGTCTGGGGACAATCACCAAACGAGATGTATTTGGAACGAGGACTAGAAAAGCATAAAATAAAAGACTATTTCACACCTGAATATAAAGATGAAAACATTTATTTTTATTTGTGCTTAGCCTTTAATCCTGGCTTTATATGATATAAACTATCTGAGAATAAATTAGATTTATTAGGGGATACAGATCAGTGTTCTCCACCAATCTTTTTTTTTATTTTTAAATTTTTGATCAATGAACCTTCTTTTTGAGGGTATACAAGCAGAATGAAATAAAGCATATTATGCCCATATGCACATTACACAAATTAATATTTAATAATGAAGATTAGCAAAAATATTTCTACACTTTATTTCTAAAGGACACAAGTAGGTAGATAATTAATATTAATGGGTTACATAAAGGGCCATTATTGTTATACAAATTATTGATAAAAACGTATAATAAGATTTGAGAAATGTTTTATATTGTTCCTAGCATAAAGAAATTATTGAATGTTTTATACAGTTTTCTTTACTTCCATACCCCTGGCTGTGCAAGCAGTGACCAACAATAGATCTACACAATTACAGGAGAATCTGGAGAACTGCCAAGAACTCACATTGTTATCATGGTCTCATGAGAGTGTATTATTTGGGGTATAAATGAAAGAAACAAGTGAAAAAAGATATCTCAAAGACACGAATAGTGTTGGAAGTCTCCATTTAATTCTTACAGAGGAGCATCGATATGACAAAATCATCACAGCCACTATTTTATTTGCAGTGTCAACAAAAGGGTCAATTATTAGACATATGAAAATGGAACCTCTTCCATAGTGAAGCTTCCTGAGCACCATGTTCCTATAAGAAAGAGGAGATGGCACACTTATAATCCTACCCCCAGCTTATTATTATCAGTAATGTTACTCATTACAGCCATCCTGAAGAGTGCTTTTCTCTAAGATTACGAAATTGTGTCTGATTTATTCAGACGTAGCTAGTGAGAGCACACAGTAGAAGGAATGTTTCTGTATTCTCACCTCTGTCCTTTCCACCAGACTGCACTTTCCTTTGATTATTCAATTTGATACTGACAATTTTCAATCTCTAATGATAATGTAATCTGTTTCTTAGACCTTTTCACCTTGAATAAAAGAACATAATCTTCAGGAGTCAGCACAGTATAGTGGAAAGAAAATGGGTTTTGCCGCTAGAACCTGGGTTCAAATCTCAGCTCAGTCATTTTCGAGCTGTTCCTTAGTATCTCATTCGTGGGCATGTTCCTTAGTATCTCAGCTTCAATTCCCTCATCTATAAAATGGAAATAACTACACCTTATAAGGTGGTTTTTTAAAATTATTATTGAAGTAGAGTTGGCATACAATATTATGTTAGTTTCAGGTGTATAACGTAGTGATTTATGTACATTACGATACCACAATAAGTCTAGTAACCATCTCTCACCATACAAAGTTATTACAATACTATTGACTATATTCCCTATGCTGTATATTAAATCCCCGTGACTTATTTATTTTATAACTGGAAGTTTATACCTCTAAGTCTCCTTCATCTATTTTATTCAACCCTCCACCCTATAAAGTTGTTTTCTGAATTAAATTAAATAGGTAGGTTGGCACACCATAGATCCTTTTAGGGCTCAATAAATTTCAGTATCCTACCTTTTCAATAACTGGCTTAAAATCTTTTTTATATGCTTTGTAGCAATTACAGAGTGATTGTGGTATCACTTAATAGGATCCAGATTTGTGGAGTATATTTGGCACTGATTTTTGATATTTAGAAACATTGCCCAAATTCTCTCAGAAGATAGTATTCATAGACTTTGGTAACAAAGAATATTCTTAAGAGCCAAAGCACAGATTTTTTTACCAGTGGCTGTGTTGACACATTTGGGTAATTTATTCAAAATTCATTTGAAAATGAAAAATATGTGAAATAATAGTGGACTAACTTTGAAAGAACACACCAAAAAAAACCCTATTTTGAAATTGTTCACATTTTTTTAAGGAAAGAGTAAAACATACTCAGAATATGAGCTTTCCGCTTGACAAAAATTTTGATATTAAATATTAGTTAAAACTTGTACTGGTCCCAGGGGTTGTAACTATGTTATTACAAGCAATTACTTGTGTTTGCAAGTCCCCAGTGGTAATAATTAGTCTACCTGTTGACACACTATTTTTCCTGCCCCACTGTTAATGTAGGCAATTGGTTTGCACATGGGGGTAATTACCATCACTGATGGTGTCTGAGATGAGCTTCCCCACCAGGCTTCTGTCAATCACCACTTTCTCCAGCTGCGGCCCAGAAAGGCTTAGGGACACCAGCACACCTGAACCAAAGAGGAGCTAAAACCAGGTTAAGCAGAAGAGGGAGAGGAAGATATACCGAGAATTAGAATCTTTTAAAAATCTCTCTCCAAATGTATAATGTATACAGCTATTTACACATGCATTTACACCATGAAATTATAAAGAGTTATTCTTCATCAAAAAATAATCACTGACATTCTGAGTAAAAAGATACAGGTGACCAAATGATGCAACACAATAAGCGCACTGATTAAATCTTTATGCAGAAACTGAATTTAGCCCATGTTTATTAGAAGTCTAATCTTCTAATACTTAGAAAGTACTCATGCAGAAATAACTGCTTTGCATTGCATTCAGAAATGTAATGTGTGCCATTAAAATCTTTTGAAAGATTACTATTTATATCAGAAATTAAGAGAAAATTTATTGAGGTTTGAATAGTCATTGCTACAAACTAACATAGAAAAGATGCCACCATAACAATATAAACAGCGAATGTTAACGATTTGAAATTTAAACCTCACTTCTACAAATAAAGATCTTGTCAGTCTAAAATATTAAAATACATGTAAATCAAGGCAGTTAAATTTTAAAATTCATAAATAAATAACACATACCAGAAACAATTTCTTAAGAAGAGATAAAGAAATACAGTAAAGCACCCGAGCTTTATCAATATCAGTGTTCACTCAATTACCCAACAAAAGACGATTGGCTATCACCATTATGATTTTATACTGCTCCTTTCCATTTGTGGCAGCATAATTCATTCATCTCCAAATGTTTAAAACTTCTGAAAGGACTATGCATATGCGTATGCTTGTTATCTACGAGATTATGAAATATCAACATTGGAAGAAAGTGTTTCACCTTCAAGGCAACAGACTCAAAGCAGATGAATCATGGAATAGCATATGGTATAAGAAGAAAAAAACCAATTGTCAGTAAACTAATCATGAACACGCTAGCCAAACCCAAAGAAAACTATGATTTTAAACAAAACAGGGGAATTCCCCACCTACCTAGGCATCATGTCCCAGCTAGAGAGAAGGATTCTGTGTCAAGACATATTTGGACATGTGCAAAAGATGAGCAGCATGAGGGACCAGGGTAACATAAAGACCACTACTCCCTCACTGCCTAACAGATTCCAGGCACATGAATCAGAAAAGAAACTAAAGGGTTCCACATGACTCAATAGACTGTCCATTTCATGTTAATGGCCCTAAAGCGGGTGGAGGGCATGGGGAGAGGAGACAAAATCATCTTTATTGGTTTTGGAGACTGATAAAAGAAGGCACATTTGTTTCAAGAATTTCAAAATACTTCACACATTAATTAATCTATACTGAATTATATGCAACCCTGCAATATACCTTGATGGCAAACACTGATATTTCCCTTTTGGGGAACTGCCCACAACAACATAGCATGTGGTCTTTACTCCATAAATTCTCCCTTCTCAAGCAGGCAATTTTAGGGTCATCTTTCATATCTAGTATTCCCCCTTGTAACAGCTATTTTCTCTCTTTGCCATTTATTCAAAACATCTCTAAAATTTGTCCTTTTCTATTTATTTTTATCTACTAAAACTTTACACCTATACTCTTAAGCACCTCAATTATCCACCAACTCTTAGCTCCTTATAGCTACTGGCTAGGCCACTTTTACCTTTGTATCTTTGCCTAGAACAACGCCAGGCGCATAGTTGGTACTAACTAAATGTTTGGAGAAAGAATCATAACTAACTGATCATAGGATCAGATAATTCATAGTTAGCAGGAAACCTGGTCTAATCTTCTACTTCCACATGACATGGAAGTTCCTTCTGCAGCATCTCTTCAAGCATCCTTCAAGCATCCAGCCTACGCTTGAATCCTGCCAGTGAGTGACCAGGAGCTCCTCACCTTACAGAAAAGCTATTCTACCATTGTGCAGTTCAAATCAATTTAAAGATAATTCATTTTTTTCATTCAACAAAAACTGAATGTTGATTATACACCAAGCACTAAACTAAATTTAGTGGCTCAAAAGTGAATCAAATATAATCCTTAAAATAGGTTAAATATAGGTTAATAGAGAGAGGTAGAGATACAAGCAAACAAGTGTAATAAAGTTCTGTTACTGGTCCTGTTATATACTACCCAGTATACTCAGATGCTGGGTAGACTGGGGGTACTGAGAAGGAGGTGGTGATGCTTGAGCTTGAGATGAAGGCGAACACTTCCTTCTAAGAACTTCTACAGTAGCCCCAGTTTTTCTTCAATAGCACTCTTCTCAAATATTAAAAGATAACAACACAGTGGTTAAGAGCATGGACTCTGAAATCAGAATGAAATCAGCACTGGCTCTACGTCTTACGAGCTGTGTGACCTTGAAGGAGTTACTTAACTTCTCTGTAACTCCATTTCCTCATCTGAAAAGAGATATGATAGTATCTACTTCATAGGATGAGGATTAAAAAACTTTTACAAATAATACTTAGAATAATGCCTGGCACAAGGTAATGTTTGCAATTACTATTATTATTCAACTGATACCCGTACAATGTGTTCTCATGATACTGTTTCTCATCTCTGAACACATTCTTTTGTCTTTTTAAAAATCTTGTGCCCAGATTGGACTCAATATTAAACATGGAACACTAGACTCCAGGTGAATCATAACCAGAACAATCTTTTGTCGCCTTTCCCATTTACTATGATTTCACAAGGATATTGTCTCCAAGATATTTGCAAATTCCTTCAGAACTTTGGAATTTAATTTGTCCAAGTCTTGAAGTTCTTGTTCCTTATTTTCTGCTCTCACTACCACTGTCATGAACTAATCCTCCTTTCCCAATAGAAATTGCTTTTTCTATGTATGAGCATTTGTTATGTCATAAAATTAATTCTAAAAGACCACTTTTGTGGGATGGAGATGGAAAGTGCAACCTGTGAGAGTAGGTAAAAGAGGGAACTTAAGCTGGAAAGGATTTGAAGGGGAAGTGTCAAGATGCAGTGGGAAAGCATGCATACATCAGTAGATAACTGATGTATACACAGACATAGGAGCAATGATTTGGGGACTGTGGATCCTACCCCAATGTGAGCTTGGGCATTCCTTCACAATCTTTCTTAAAGGATAAGTGTAGCCACTTATTCATACATTCACTAATTCATTTCATAAATATATATTTAGAACTTTGTATGAGCCAGGCCCTGTTCAAGGTGCTGAAGATAGAGTAGTGAACAACAGACAATGCCCTTGCCCTCCTTCCCCTCAGGGAGCTTGCATTCGAGTATCGATACAAGCAATAAACAAATAGCTTTAATATAATGTCAGATAGCAACAAGAACTACAGAGAAACATAAAGCACAGTAAGGATGGGGACTTTAGGAGGATGCTGTTTTAAGTAGGATGACTAATAATGAAATAAAAAGGCCTCTCTGAGGAGACGACATTTGAGTACAGACCCAAATGAAGTGAAGGAACAAGCCATAGAATTATTTGGAGAAACGGAGTTTGAGGCAGAGAACAACAAATGCAAAAACTCTGAGGTCAGAATGTGCCTGGGATGACTGAAGAAAGCTAGGTCAGTGTAGCTGGAGGGGAGTAAGTGAGAGGGATATTCATAGAGATGTAATCAGAGAGGTAGTCAGGGGCCAGGTTAGTTGGACCTTTTTGATGAGAAGCCACTGGGTTTTAAGCAGCAGAGAATATAATCTAATTTATGTTTTAAAGGGGGTCAGGGCAAGAGCAGAAGCAAGGAGACCATTAGGGGGCTATTGCAGTGGTCCAGGTAAGAGAAGATGATGGCCTGGACTAGATTGGCAATGCTAGAGGAAATGATACGTAGACAGATTTGAGATATATTTTAAAGGGGATCAGCCAGGACTCGCTGAAGGACTGGATGTGGCGTACAAGAGGAAAACTCCACGATTTTTGGGCTGAGCAACTGGGTTCACTGAGATAGGGAGGACCTCAGGAGAAGCAAACTTAGAATGGAGGGAATCAAGAGTTTGGTTTTGGACGTGTTAAGTTTAAGGTGTCTGTAGACATACAAGCAGAGATATCATGTAGACAACTAGCAATGAGTCTTAAGTTCAGAGTGAAGTAGGGGGCTGGAGATATATATTTGGGAGTCATCAACTCCCATCAATATAAAGGTAGTGTTTAAAGTCATGAAACTGGCTAAGTTCTCTTTAAAAAATGTGTGGGAGGTCATAAGGGTAGGCTCCTAATCCAGTCTGACTGGTGTCCTTATAAGAAGGGGAAGAGACACCAGAGGGTTCTCTTTCTCCACGCACATACACAGAAGAAAGGCCATATGACAACATAGCAAGAAGACAGCTGTCTACAGGCCAGGAAGAGAGGCCTCAGAAGAAATCAAGGCTGATGGCACTTTGTTCTTGGACTTCTAGCCTCTAGAACTGTGAGAAAATAAATTTCTGTTGTTTAAGCAAAAAAAAAAAAAGGAGTGGAAGGAGAGAAAGAGGTCCAAGGTCTGAGCTCTGGGGCATTCCAATCTTTAGAGGCGTTAAAAGATCAGGTTAGCCCTCTTATTGAAACCTAGTTTTGAGTTCTCATTAGGATCAAGGTATGTGCATCAATTCAGAATTCTAAATGTCTTGTGGCCTAGAGGTATTCCCGAAGCTAGATTTTGGAATAAAAAGGTATAAAAGAATTAATAAGATATTTAATGCATTTTTATAGAACAACCTGTGGAGAAGCAAAAAGTTTCCACTTACTAGTGCCAAAGATACTCCTGGATATGGTAATGGAGATAAGTAGAATTAGGAAAAAATAGTCTGAAACTCAGGAGAAGAATATTCCAGCCCAGATAGGCTACAGTGCTTCTGCCTATTTCCCCAAAAGGTTAGTTCTTAAGCCTTCCAAAATGGAAAAGGCCTATGTCAGATTTGGCAAAACAAGAAGGCAAAAGGGCACTAAGATATTGTCCTATTCTATTACAAGGAGTTGGAGAATTCTGACAGCTCAGAAAATGAAAAAGAGCGGACAGAGAGACAAAGGAAGGCACCTTCAGAACAGATCAG